TGGTTTCCTTCCCACTGGACAGGTAGTAGCATTCTATGAATATGTAGTTTTAATCAAGTGTAAGACTGACTTTCAGCCACATAAATTTAAGAAACTACCTTTATGCCAAACTGTTAGTACAAAACAATGCATTGATGTACATCTTGTGTACTACATCTGTATGAATAGTCATGTTGGGAAAAACTTAAGGGTATATCTGCTGGGATTAAAAAACGTGGGTGGGCAAAAAAGTTGCTGATCTATAAAGGTGAAGGGGCAGATGAACTCAGGATTTCACCTACAAGGAAACAAATTCAGGAACTGGTCACAGCAGAACCAATCCCGAGACCTGATTTTAAGGTGGGTGCCCAAATGTAAATCACACAGCCATGCTGTTAACTGATGCCAAGACCAACATCTACAGCTGCAGCTATGCTTGGGTTTCAGTCGCATGTGATTGCAAATGATTTTTAAATCTGATTATTCTCACCTTTGCCCATTCCTGGATACAGTCAAAACAAAACACATGGGTGCAGTTGTTAGGTGTCCCAAGAAGCTGATCCTTGAGAGACATAAGACACACTGGACACTGATCAGTGTTGCCAGAGGACATCTCATCACCTGACTCTTCAATAATTACTTCATCCAGGGGATTATCAAGTCCGTCATTTTCTTCATCTGCAGGCCAAAGAGAAAATTAAGACAGAATCTATCAGGAAATCTTTAGTAGACAAAAACCTTGTACCAGAATATTTTAAGCCATATCGCACTCTTTTTTACACTCTTCAAGCACCATAGATGTTATTAGTTACCTGTAATGACACCGAAGACAATTTCTTTATGGGAGCCCCAAAAAATAAATTTCAATTTCACAGGAATTTAGAAAGCACAGGTAAACTCATCATGTACAAAATTTCACTCCATAAGAACCTTATCTTTGAAGTTATTTCATATAACTTATTACATTTAATTAGCCCTTATAAAGTGTAAAAAAATGCCATATATGGCTTAAAATGTTGTTTGTGCTGAAAATAAAATTATGTAATTTCCTGATGGATTCCTTCTTAATATATCAGGGGATTTTGTATCATGGAAAATGGGTGATTTAGAAATAGAAAAAAAACTGTAACATCAATATACCTTGGTCATCATCATCATCATCATCATCATCATCATCATCATCATCATCATCATCTTCTTGTTGGTTATCCTCCTCGTCATCATCATCACCTTCATTGTCGTCATCTTCACTTAGGTCATCATCACTACTATCATTAAAGGCCTCTGAAGCTCTTCTCTTCCTTGTCCATGCTTTATAACTTAACTTTTCTTCAGGAGTAACAACAAAACCTTCAAAGTCTTCCTCTTCACTGCTGCTGCTGTCCATCAGCTTACTGGTAATTTAACATATCATATTGGTTTTCCAATCCATGAATAGACAGGGCTAGAATATGCAGATGAAAAAGATGATACAAAGGACTTTTTATTAATGAGTCATTAAATACAAGGTGACGAGAATTGCTATATCCCACTATTGACCCTCACAGCAGAGAGACATCAAGACAATAGTTAAATCGGCAGAATATCATAGTTTACCGCAGAAAATAAGTCATATTTGATCGAAACATGGTACGGCAAAAATCAGAGTAAGAACCTGGTATTTAGAACCTGTTACATGTAGGCGAAAATTGCCAGTTACATCCCTCTATACAAGACTGTTTAGCCTAAAATTGAAACGGGTAATTTTCTAAAACCTATAAAAAAAAAAATTCTGTACACTTGGGCAGATAAGATAAGTCAACATTCAAGATTCTCCTCAATAGGTGCCTTATCACTCTAACTGCAAGGTAAAAGTATGTAGATTTTATAATTACTCTTAGCTGCAATGTATTTTTTTCCTCAAAAAATAAGAACCTAAANAAGAACCTGGTATTTAGAACCTGTTACATGTAGGCGAAAATTGCCAGTTACATCCCTCTATACAAGACTGTTTAGCCTAAAATTGAAACGGGTAATTTTCTAAAACCTATAAAAAAAAAAATTCTGTACACTTGGGCAGATAAGATAAGTCAACATTCAAGATTCTCCTCAATAGGTGCCTTATCACTCTAACTGCAAGGTAAAAGTATGTAGATTTTATAATTACTCTTAGCTGCAATGTATTTTTTTCCTCAAAAAATAAGAACCTAAATAGCCTAAATTTGTACTGATAACCACTTATTTAAGGACCTGTTTAGGCTAACCGGGGAAAATACAGGTTCTTTCTCGCGAGTTTTAACTGTATTATAATATTAAAGCTGACAACAGCGCGTCAGCTGGTTTCGATTTCTTGCCATTGTCTAAACATACCAGTGTTCAGCTGTCTAGCTAGTATAATTATTATTCTCCACACTCCAACAGTCTTTGGCTCAAGCAAAAGATATCGAACTGTATGAGAAAACAAGACAAAGCTTGCTTGTCTAAAATTCTAAGTTATTGTCAAATCATGCAATCGATAGCCTTAAAATCGTAATAAAATGACAGAACACGTCCGGCGAGCGCCGGAAACAGACAGTTCAACAGTGATGTTTCTGAAACTTCACGCACCTCAAGGTCGCACTATACCTAACTGCGGAAACAAAGAATATATTCTGCAGTTACCTGAACGAGCAGTTTTGAAAAATTCTGGCTGTGCGATCGTGAAAAAGAAAACATATTTTGTCACATGTTGCTTGTGGCCTGCGCCATTTTTCGTTCCACGTCTCAAGGGTGATACCGCTGGGCACATAAACAGTAGCCATCGAGGTGAGACGTTGCGTGACGAACGTCCCTTTCTATATCTTTCATCGGAAACTCATAAGGGGTTGAGTTTCTGCTTTCATAGAATGAAAAACTCTGCAAGACCGCCAAACGTTCCACCGTCAGTGAACAGAATTTTGGTGAATCTTTACCTCTAGCCCTGGCTTATTCTAAGGCTAAACTGAGGCCCACCATGGCCAAGGAAAAATTCATTGAGGCTGTCCCCGCCCCCTCTCCTTAGTGACTGGATACCTTCATCTCTCCCTTAAAACCTGGGTGATATGATACTGATTGCTTTTGTACACTGTTTTGAACTAAAAATCGCAGCAACTCAGACGAAGGTAGAGAGTATTACGTTCTTTCCCTAAAACTTGATCGATAAAAAATGACAGTCTGGACAGTTCCAAAATTTAGAAGTGAACACTGGCACATAACATACATCGGTCACAGTTAAGCTGGCCGATCTGTTCTATTAAAAGAAATATTCCTTACTTTTATTTAACATTCAACAGGATACTAAAATTTAAATAGTAAAATAACTGTGTTTTCAGAAGCTAATAATGCCGGGCGTCAGTTATTTGATGTGCTTCGTAAACACTGAAGTATAAATTCATAAGCAGGCAATTAACGTCATATCAACACTCGTTTGTGGGTATCGGCCCTTTTTTCCAGCAGCTGATAAATGTACAGATTTGAAAGGCTTTGTTCAGTGAAATTATGTTTACTCACAGTTTGCCTTAAACCTATGAAAAAACAATAACAAATTGTTCGTCATTCAATTTGTTTGTGTACAGGTTGTAAGTAAGCTCCATTGTGCTCGTACGTTTCATTATTCAGTACTATGTATTATTTCAACCGCTAATTGCACAGATGCTGAGGTACCCTGCACAAATAGCCCATCAATGGAAAAAGCCGAGTAATTGCTTGTTTTTATGAAAACCGGTTACCAAGCTCAACAAATGCGTAAGGAAAACTAAGGCTGTTTAAATTATTTTACTGATTACTTTTTATTATCGGTTCAGCAGAGCTTGTTGGGATCAAACCGACTGAAGCAAGCGGATTATATCACTAAGATACTACGCAGGGTGGCTGTGTCAGGACAACCATCTTCACAAATTTTGGAAAATGAAATCTATCATAACCATCCTCATTTTGGTCACATATACCCACGCATGGAGATGGCCATGGCAGAAGCCAGATTGTAAGTGTATTGATATTTTTTTACTATTCTTATTAATTATAAGTTCCGTTTAAATTACCATGATGTTAAAAATAATCTTAATGTATCAATTGCTTGATCACTTGTTACCTGAAATTCACTAAATTTTTTACCTTAACTAAGATGAGCATCACGCTTGCTTGATATATATAGGCTAGAACACTTAACGCTCCAGAGTTGCACAGGCTATAGTTTGAAACTTTAAGACATAGCGGCAATAACACTCTCTTGCCGTAAGATTAACTCTCCTTTGTCATTCCCCAGTCGATATAACTTAGGTAATTCAGTCGACCTGTTCATTTCTAACTGCTTTCAGAGTTTGCAATCTAAGCAGAATGCAGATTTGAATAGAGCTGGGGAAATTGAATTTCCTGTCTCGCCCATAGTATTTTACTTTGCTTTTCGAGCTTAAACTCGAGAGGGAAAATGCACGGTTTACATGGCCCTGATTCACATTTTATAATGGCCCAAATCGAATCGAATCTCCTTTCCCGCCCTTTAATAGTATTTTCTTTGCTGTTCGGATCCAAACGCTCGCGGTCTACATGACGCTGATTCACCCAAAACCTGCGGCGCGGATTACATGACGTTTTTCGTTGCAAAATTCAGGTTCAAAAACTGCTTTCTTGAACAGGAAGGTCTCAATGTCTCAATGAGGTTAACCGTCAGTCGTCAAACGGCCTAAAATTTTGCCGTCAGCCGTCAAAAAAGGTTATTTTTTTACCGTCAACCGTCAAAAATGAAGATTGAGATTAACCATAAAAGAGTTTCAAGTCAACTGATCCTCCAGGGATTCTGGCTCCCGAAGAATCTCCAAACTGGAAAAACCAGTTCCCATGTCCTCAAAAACACTCTTTCTGGTAATTACAATACCTTTCAACCAGCTTATATCTGAAAATATTTCAAAATTTCATAAGTGAAAGGCCAAGACAAGCTCCACACAGAAGTTGATATTTACTTTAACTTTTGGACTAAATTTCCACTTAATAACCGTCAACCGTCAAAAGCTCTAAAATCTAACCGTCAAAATTGGAAAAAATTAACCGTCAAAGCTACCACTCCATTGAGACCCTCTAGGGTAATACTTGGCAGTTATGATCTAAACTGATAAACTTGTGGCCCTCTGTAAACATAAATCAATAAAATATTGAAAAAAAAATTACAATGTCCATTTAAAAAGACAAAAATTTACATATATGAAAGTTGTCGTAGACACAAGTGTAGTTGACGTCGATTTTTACAGCTGTTTTCATAGATCATATCCCCTTTTCTTTCATAAAGAGTCAGAACT